TAAAATTAATTTTTGAATTTTTTTTTTTAACAAAATTTCAAATTTGAAAGAAAAGAATTTACTTTTTAAAACAAATTTTTTTAAAACTTTTCCAAGAATCCTCAATATATATATCATAAATTAAACAAAAAACAGAAATTGATAGATTCAATATAATTTAAGAAGATACATCAAATAGATCAAGAAATTTTGTTGTTATATGAATAGTAAGTATTTTAAGAAAAAAGTGCATATCAATCTTGATTTCTAAAAAAATTGGAGTCCCAACCTTAAATTGTTTATTTAATTAAAACTCAAATTTTAATTTTAAAAAATTATCTTATTAAATATTGATATTTAAATTTAAATTTTGATTATATTGAGATATATAATGAATTTCTAAATTTAGATATCAACATTTAATAAGATAAAATTTTAGTTTTCATATATAAGTTGGGATTCTAATTATTTTTTAAAATCAAAACTAATACGTATTAATTTCATATTTTAAAAGTATATTATATGAGTTCTACATTAATGAAAAACTATGAAATAGTGAATTCAAATGCTTTAGAATCCAAATCTTAGTATCACTTAATTCAATTTACTGTTTTAATTAATTAAATCAAATCTTTCAATTTTAATTATTCAAATAAAATTAAAATTAATTAATTTTAATACTTAATCTTTGCAGCACGATACTTAATTTTTATGATAATCTTACTTAAAACGATTAACACTAGAGAAATTAACTCATCCTTATTCTCGAATTAAAAAAAAAAAATCAAGTTTTTCTTTTTCAATATCAATCAGATAAAAAACCAAAAAGAAAAAAATGAAAATTTGTCCCTAGGTTGGATTTGGGGTATGGCACTTCGGTTAATGAGTTTGGATTAAATTTGGGCTTCAGGCCGAAAAACCTTGGGCTGAACTGCATTGCCGTAATGCTGTTTCAGAAAGGAGCCCACATGAGGAGCGCGTTTCAGTTATCCACATACTTTGTCTGCTCTTCGCTGATTTATTATACGACCGTCGTTCCGAATCCCATTGTTCCTCGGCCTGAACCCTTAACCCCTCTTTCAACGGTTAAACCCCTCCGTCTCTGCTTCCATTCTTACTCTCCACAACCTCGAAGCCTCACCCTCCCGATTTGGTGAGCAAAAGGCAGAAATTAGCTCGGAAGAGATACAAAGAGGAACACCCAGAACTGTTTCCAAAACCAGAGCCAAAAGACCCAAATGAAAAGAAGAAGAAGAAGCAAAAGAAGAGCAAGTTCAAGCGGAAGTAGGCAGAATGTAAAGAACCAAAAGACCCAATAAACCCATTAAGAAAGGGATCAAAAGACACCCACTTAGAGTCGCTGGCCTGAAGCCTGATGAGAGCTGTTTTATATGCAAAGCCAAGGACTATATCCCCAAGAATTGCCCTCAGAAAGCTCAGTGGGAGAAGAACAAGTTTTGTTCTGTTTCATGATTTTCAGTTTTGTGCACATGTTATGTTTCGTGGGGTCTGTATTTCTGGCGCCGTAATAGTCATGCAAAAGTCGGTTCTGCTTGGAACTCAGAAGTTATTTTTTGTTATTTCCGAAGATGCTGAATTTGACAAGGTAATGAAAGTTGGGGATTGTTGGTTTGGTTGTTTTCTTGTTGTGTGGAGAGAACTGAAAATGGTGCTATTGTTGTTTCTTATGGGATACTTGCAGATATGTTTGCTTTGCCGGCAACGAGGGCATAGTCTCAAGAACTGCCCTATCAAGAATGATGAGAATATGGATAAGAAGTTGTGCTATAGCTGCGGAGAAACTGGGAATTCACTTGCCAAATGTTCACAACCTCATCAAGACAGTTCTTGGCCTTTTAGTTCAACTAAGAATGCTTTAATAGGATTCTGTAAATATGACTACAGTTTTCTCTTGAAGAAAATTGGTGTAATTTGGTGCTGCATTCGCTGTTGTCTGTTTTTCTAGTGATTTGACGTGTCATAAGTGTAATGTAGTGGATTTTGCAAGTGTAAAATTACCTCAGCAATTCACTTAAAAGTTTACATGAAAGTGTGGTTATATTTAAAGAATTGCCTGCAGAGTGGGCAATTATTATCTTAATAGGAAATGGCTCAAGCTAGAAAATTTGGTCTACAGATTGGCCTGCGATTAACTTGTACATACTGCCATCATTTTACAGGTTGGAAGTTCATGTTAGAATTTGTTGAAAATATACTGAAGAGGTTACTGAATTAGGATCTTTCTTCCTCTCTCTTGCTAGTGTTTGTGTTTGTAAATTGGACAATCCCTACTTTGTTGATCCTTTTTTTTTTTTTAACAACAGGGAACTTCAAGAAGGCAGGGCCACGGGGCCCTTTGGACCCATCCACCCCAGCATCAGCCCAGGGCCACTCAGCTCTTTGGCCTTACGTTGTTGATATATAAATTCATGTTTATGGAGTTAAAATCCATCAAAAGATCAAAACTCATTGCACATTTGAATGATCTTTTGTATATCTGTGTTTGAACTCCTCATCATTTGTTGCCATGAATGGTGATTATTATGTTCTGGCATTGTAGGTGGAACTAAATTTGCACTATGCTTTATTTGTAATGAACATGGTCATTTGAGCAAGAATTGTCTACAAAATACTTATGGGATCTATCCAAAGGTACACCTGTCCTTCGCCATCATTAGCTTGTTTGTTTAATCAGTGCAGAGTCTAGTATATTTTTGGGAATTAAAACATGTTTATAATGTAGATATCCTTTACCCTTCTTTGTTGAAATTGGCATTTGATAGGTGCATTTTTCTTCTATTTTCTATGGGGTGGTGGTTGCAAAATATGTGGTAGTGTTACTCATTTGGCTAAAGATTGCCCTAATAAAGGCAGCGAAGTTCCTCCTACTGCTGGCAAAGAAGGCAACACATGTAAACTTGTTACTACCAAAGTACCAATAGCAACACTTATCCCAACTATCTGAAGTTTGTTTAAATTAACATGACTTTTGCTATATATATTTTGGGGCTACGACCTATGAGGATTAGTTTTATGCCAGGAAAGATGAGTGGCAACCCACAAATCATATCTTAGTTTTGAAATGACAAATAGGAGCTTGAAATTTGATAGAAGACAGATTTTGTAAAATGTTCCTGAGACAGGGCCAATTATTCTCACATTGATGCAATCTAAATAAATCATGAATAGGTTTAGTTTGCTGCCCACTGTAGCTGCAATTCTGCAATTCTATTCTCGTAGGAAGGTCATGGAGGTTAATGGTTTTGGGAATACAAGAAATAGGCTGCATGTAATACCTGTGGAAATATTGAGACTGATTCTGGCAAGAATATCCCGTAAAAGTATTGAAATATTTATTGGCCTGTTTGGTTAATAATCTGAATCTGATAGGGAAAAAATCAGAGGTTGTTGGATTCATTAGCTTCTACATGTTCAACCAGTTTGGTGAGGGTTCTGATAAATATATGCTTTGCTTGCTTACTATTGAGATTTTTTTATGCTTATTGTCAATTGAAGACACAAAATTAATTCAAATAACTAGGATGGAAAAGGAGTCCTGATTTGCTCCACCCTACATCACTGATGTTGTCAAAGAAACCTTTTATAACCTTTTTTGAGACACTTGTCTGTGAATAATGAATTCAACATGACACGTATGATAAAGAGCAGGGTAAGTTATATGGTGATCTTACCTTCTTTGAGTGTCATCTGAATAAAGCAATGACAAAGACACAGCTGCTAATTGATGGAAGTAAAATTTATGCTGGTGTAGAGTATTATAAGATGTTCCTGCTTATGCATTCTTCAAATTTCCTATGCACGAATGCTCTGCAGTTTATCATGGTCCTAAAGTTTCCTTTCTTGCTAAACTTTATCCTATGGTCTTCACTTTTTCCCTTTCCCTGTTGCTTGCTAAATAAAATCTTTTTCCTATTTTGATTCTGTTTTCAGCAATTGAAAATGAGGATAGGCCAAGACGACAGATTACCAAATTCACTAGTGGGGATGATCTTGATGACGACTTCAGGGTAGAAGATTCTGCATCAAAAGTCCAAAATACTTCTAATTCAAAAGACATGAATGTAAAATCAAAGAAGAAACAGGGCCCTAAAGTAGTCAAGTTTGTAGGATAAGAAACTCTTTGGTGACTAATTTCAAGAGTGCTTGTTGTAATCCATGTCAAGAATAATTCTAAATCCCGGAATTTCTGCTATAGAATTGAATGTATTCTCCCTTAATGTTACTTCAACAGGAATTCACTTTTTTATGTAACCAGTCATAATGTATTTTTACGAAAAGTGGTTCATAGCTGGATTATGTTGAATTGTAGTAAACTATAAAACATTTTTTATTAGATTAGGATGAGATCTTTCCATTTAATGACTGATGTTTTACAGTCTGAATAACAAATGCTTACTCATTTTTTTGTGTCACCCTGCTCCACATTATTGGAAATTAACCCTTTTTCATTGTTAATTTTCTGTTCCCTTAAGCGTTGATTTCTTGGAATGGATAATTAAGAAAAGATATACTGTTGTGATGGCGCAAAGTTTGTATCTTAAGTTAAATTTGTTTGGTGAAACTACTTAAATTGTATTGACTGCTAAATAAATAATACCATACTAAATTCTAACCCTTAAAACTTTTGGAAGAAGAAATAGACTATATAACCAAAAGAGAACTATGATTGAAATTTTTTGTCATTTTTTTGGGAAACCATGGGGAGGAGGAAGTTCATCCCATAGGTAAAGTAACTTAGTGTTTTTTTCTTTTTACTAAAAAAAAAAGAACATAATTTAGTTTTTATTTAATCATATTTCTAATAAGATCGATATGGTGAAGTTGAAGGTATGTCAAACTTAATTTTTAAAAAGTGCATTTAGATTTTTTTTAGTTTTTAAAATTTTTTATGATTATCATATTCGAATTTATGATATAACATTTTTACATAAGCTACAGATATATCAAATATGTTCTAAAAATGTTAATGAATTTTAACTTTTCCTAAACTGAAACTACAAATTTATAACTTAAAGAACGGAACTTTTTCAGCAAAAAACATTTTATGGTTAGTAAAATTTGTCAACTTATAGAATTATTTGTGCTCATCAATATATTATATAATTCCACAATTTCTGATCTCAATGGAAGTTTTCATGCTGTACCTCTCTTTTAAGTCTTCAGGGCTAAAAGGTTGAGGGTTGCAAGGAAATCTTAGAACCTTGGGTACGGCTCACTATCTAGGCCCTGCAATGTGTTTTGTATTGATTCCAACCCAAAATGCCATACATTACATGAAAATGAATCTTTATAAAACGGCTACCATCATTAGTGCATCATTAGATTCGGTATTGAGCAAAATTGATACAATGCAGTAAAACGCATGTGTAAAATGATTGTTCTTATTAGTTGGGAGTCGGACCCATCATCCCAAAACTGCTGTTCCAGTCAGATCACCATTGCTGCTCTTAATTACTTGAAGCCTACATTGCTTCTATTTTTTTTCACCTGGATGGATTCTTCTTCTTCGGGTTTCCTTTATTCGTTTTTTGAGTAAAGTCTACGTTTGCTCTGATGCATTTTCCAGGCTTTCCGTTCCTCCCACTCGTCCTGTTGAATGTTGGGGTTAGACAAATTAAGGACGTGTTCGGGAGTCCCTGATAAATATAACCTAAATTCTGCAAAAACGTAAAGAAAATTATTATTGGACCTTAAACCATAAGAGCCGATTTGGCCTAGTGTTTGAATACTATAAAAGCTAAAAGTTAATTAAAAGTTGTTCTAATTTTTTAAAAGTTGATTTTAGTTTCAAGTAAGTTTTTATGTTTTTAAATTATGAATTTAATAATAATTATTAATATTTAAAAATTTTATAATTATTTTAATTGAATTTATAATTCAGTATTTTTGTAAAAGATTTATTCAAATAATTCTACCAAAACTACTACTAGGACAAATAACTTTTTTTTACCATTAGGACAAATAGTATTTGGTCCTCATTTTTTTCTCTCTTATAGCATTCGACAATTCTAAGTTATTTTGATGTTTTATAATTAATACTGTACCATATTGTAAAATGTAAATTATCAAATTAAGAAGTTTTGCTACTACAATTAATGATCTTGCTTGTAATGATGGTTCTTGTTATGAAATCAAAATTATAAAATATTGCCATAGTATATAAAATAAATACCAATTCATCAATAAATTATCTAATAAATACATATTGTTATCTATCCAATAAATACATATCTTCATATGAAAATGTCAACATACTAATTTTTAATTTTTACCATAGAGGTGGTTAGAATGAACTTCGAGAGATTGTTGATTTTCATGTCAATTTGAAAGAAAAATGATGCAAAAATGCCTATAAATTTAATTGAATATCTTTAATAAATAAATATAAAAAGAATATTTACTAAAGATATTTAAATAATTTTTAAAAAATAATCAACGTGTCTCAAATGATTAAAGATCTAAAATTTCAAGTTAAAAATCTAAGATTAAAAAACTTGAACCAGGTGGAGAGGGGCTAATAGAGAGGAGAGTAGTATTTTTTATTGTATAATTTAGTTATTTGATGTAAAAAAAAAAACATTTACAAAATCCAAACGCTGTCTTACCGAAATCGGTTTCTTTTAGGTCCATACTGCCTGTCACGTGATACTCCATGAAATCACGTGCTCCTTTTACACCTTTCATTGCCCACTTTTATCCACGTGCCCGCCAGAGCGTCACTCTCCAACCCCGTAAAATGCGCGTCAAACAGCCCCCGCCCAACCGCGCTAATTAAATTCCCAACAACCAGAATCCCCAGGGTTTTCCCAATTCAAAATTCAAATTCCGCCTCAATCCTAACGCCGCCGTCAAACCTAACGGAAACCCATCTTCCCTCACCCCCTCCTGCATATAAACCCACATCAAATTCTCTTCCTCGTTTCCACCAACCATAACCATCCCGCACTCAAAACCTTGCTCAGTTCAGAACCCCAGCCCGTGAAGATGCGTGAGATTCTCCATATTCAGGGAGGCCAATGTGGCAACCAGATCGGAGCCAAGTTCTGGGAGGTGGTTTGCGCTGAACACGACATCGATTCCACCGGCCGGTACCAGGGGAACAACGATCTGCAGCTGGAGCGCGTTAATGTCTACTACAATGAAGCCAGTTGCGGTAGGTTCGTGCCTCGTGCGGTGCTCATGGATCTGGAGCCTGGGACCATGGACAGCGTTAGATCCGGGCCGTACGGGCAGATATTTCGGCCGGACAACTTCGTGTTCGGGCAGTCCGGTGCTGGTAATAACTGGGCAAAAGGTCATTACACTGAAGGAGCTGAGTTGATTGATTCCGTCCTTGATGTGGTGCGCAAGGAGGCCGAGAACTGTGATTGCTTGCAAGGTAATGTGCTCTTTTCATGTTTTCTGAAAGCTTTTGGAAATTCATTTCCCAATTGTTTTTGTTGACGGTATCCGATTTTAAGTTTTGTTCTGTACTTCGCAATTTTTGGTAATAATTGGCTGTGATATCTGTTTGGAAAGGTGCTCTTGTCATTAGCTTACATTCTTGCTTCGGATCTGATAACTTCTAGGCATTTGTGATGTTTCTTGTGATTCCCATTGTATCCCATTGTATCGTTCAGTGTTTTCGAGTGGTTTTATTTGTTTATCGGTGGCAGTGTGTTGTTGAACAGTGCCTTTTCTGCTCTGTAAAGTAGTTTAAGGCAGAAAGCTTCGGTGTAGAGGACTTGTTAACTTGATAATGTACTCTTATTTCTTCATTGAATTTAATTGGTTATCATTGTTTTGTGGGTTCTAAGTATGGAAGAATCTGTGTCTGGTAGCATAAAAGAGTAATGTATAAAAGTAACTTTTGAGCTAACGTATCCAGTTTAGTTCAACTTTTTGTTTCGTGAGATTGGTTTCTGAAAATCATGAAATATTAGAGTTAGACCAATAAATCTTGTTTTTGGGTTTAAATTTGGATCTGACTTTTCCTGGATTCAGTTTATAGGTGTCCTGAAGAGGTCGTGTTCAATTTTTTTTTTTTTGGGTCATATTTGTAATAGTTTCTGTTGTATTGTTGTGGATTAATTTTGAAACGTCTAGTGTTTGTTTGGTTTCAAATTTTTTCAGGGTTCCAGGTTTGTCACTCTTTGGGAGGTGGAACTGGGTCAGGAATGGGAACGCTACTCATTTCCAAGATCAGGGAAGAATACCCAGACAGAATGATGCTCACATTCTCTGTTTTCCCATCCCCAAAGGTGTCTGACACTGTTGTTGAACCATACAATGCTACTCTCTCAGTTCACCAGCTTGTTGAGAATGCTGATGAGTGTATGGTTTTGGACAATGAAGCTCTCTATGATATTTGCTTCCGAACTCTCAAGCTCACAACTCCAAGCTGTAAGTAAATTACCTATTTGTACCATGTTAATGATTATCATGCTGAGCTTTTATTGATTCCTGAAAGGTTTGGATGTTCATTTTCTGAAAGTTCTATTGTATGATGTAATATATGCCATGGTTTTCATTTTTTCTACCGTAAGATTTGTTAACAATATATTGCTGTGTACCTAGTGCCAATGTAGTTATTGCCTGTATTTTTACATGCTTTGGGAACCTTTTTCTTTGATTCTGTAACTCATTATACTTTTGGTGGATCAACATGCATTAATCTGAACTGAAGTGTGCTGCATGGCACTCAGCTGGATCTACATTTGTTATTGTTTGAAGAAACCAATCTTATAAGATTCCGGTTATTTGATAGACTACTTATGAAAACCTAAGAGATTTGTTTTTCAGTTAGGTTTGATGTGATTTGCTTACTCTGTTAATTATATGCACTGAGTAGATTGCTGGTGAAGATAATTGGAACATGATACGATGAATATTACTTGCACATTTGTTCCTGCAAAATCTTCTACTGAAATTCCACTACATCTGATGATTTGATTCACTCATTCTTGTTCTAAATGCAGTTGGAGATCTTAATCACCTGATTTCTACCACCATGAGTGGGGTTACCTGCTGCCTCCGTTTCCCTGGTCAACTCAACTCAGATCTTCGCAAGCTTGCTGTTAATCTCATTCCTTTCCCTCGTTTGCATTTCTTCATGGTTGGCTTTGCTCCACTCACATCTCGTGGGTCACAGCAATATAGGGCTCTTACTGTCCCTGAGCTCACTCAGCAAATGTGGGATGCAAAGAACATGATGTGCGCTGCTGATCCTCGCCATGGTCGTTACTTGACTGCTTCAGCTATGTTCCGTGGCAAGATGAGCACCAAGGAGGTTGACGAGCAAATGATTAATGTGCAGAACAAGAACTCATCTTACTTTGTTGAGTGGATCCCCAATAATGTCAAGTCTACCGTTTGTGACATCCCTCCAACTGGTTTGAAGATGGCCTCAACATTCATTGGCAACTCAACTTCAATCCAGGAGATGTTCCGACGGGTGAGTGAGCAGTTCACAGCTATGTTCCGCAGGAAGGCCTTCTTACACTGGTACACAGGGGAAGGCATGGACGAAATGGAGTTCACTGAGGCTGAGAGCAACATGAACGATCTGGTTTCTGAGTACCAACAATATCAGGATGCAACAGCTGATGAGGAAGGGTATGACTATGAAGAGGAGGAGGAATTTCAAGAGGAGGCCTGATTTTTGTGGATTGGAATCAGCTCTCTGTTGTTAATTATTGAGGAATTGTGTTATTTTTCTTTTATCTGGATATTGTGAGCCGTTCCCTGGCCTATATTTTTTGTTTGCTCATTGTAATACCTCAAGAGATTATTCTTTGTGATCATGTTACCGTCAGTAGAGACAGTAAATGCCTATGGGTTAGATTTGCAATTTTCAGGTTAAAGTCTATCCGCATGGTTGCATTGCTTGATTCCTTGATGGCATGATTTTGGCTTTGATCATAGATGAGTTTACATACATCTAGCGGTTCTTTTCTTCTGCGCTTCAGTTCATGACCTCACTCATTCTTTATTGCTCTTGTAGATGGCATTCTGTTTTGGCGTAT